TGTGTGGGGTGGGGAGTTGGTGCCTTTTTTCACCTCCGGATGTCAGAGAAGTCGGACAGTTCATCTGCCCGGTCCATGATCCCATGTGCCCCTCTGGGACTGTGGCCCCCAGCTTTCACCCGGGCATGGGCGTTCAAGTGGCCCTTAGTACCTCTCTCTCCCTTAGATGCTCGTAAGGTCTCCCTGTGGTCGGAGTCAGAGTGGGCCAGCATGTCCCCACGGCCAGCAGTGGCTTTGCTGGCTTCACCCGGCTTCTTCTCGGGACCCAGGATGGTGTCACCATGCACAGCTGAGGTGCAGAAGCTCAGGATGGAGCAGAGACTTCCCCAGTTCTGTTCACACTGGGCCTGGACGCTTCTTGTTATTGCCTTTTTCACCTCCTCGCCACAGGTGAGCAGGATATTCACTAGGTCAACATATGGCCTAGAGGTAAAGGAAACAGTGAGAGGAGAGTCAAAAAACATGTAAGGGTTATCTATCAGTAAACAAGCATAATGGCCTCTCTGCCTTACCTTCTCCTGTGCAGAGCACAGCTCAGCAGCGTTAGCCCCCTGCTACCCACTGACTCGGCAGCCTTGTAGAGCAATTCTGCACCGTACGTTCATCATGCAACGTGCTGTATTCTAATGAGACAAACTGCTCTAAGAAGTGTGCCTGATGTCACCCTGTGAAATGAAGTTTCACTCAAGTGCTGGGTCTGCCTTGATTGCTCCCGCACCAGAGATGCTCTGGGAGAACTGTAATGTCTAGAGGAAGATATGAGGTCTACGTGCTTGGCAAAATGGGGCTGTCAAACAGAAGATCTCATGCCTTCTCCCTCTATCTCTTTCCAAGCCCCTTCAGCTTTATTAGTCAGGATACATGACAAAGGAGACCTGCTCATGTCCAGAGCCATCAATTTCATCAAACAGCTTGCTATCTCCTGGTGAATGACTGCTACAGAGCACTCACCAGTCACTAATGTGCAAGAGGGAGGCATTTCCTCACCTCTGCAAAGAGCAGCAGACACTCAACTAGAGGGTCTCTGGCTTTTCTCATAATCTTTAGCTTTCCCTGAAGCACCAGGTATTGATCTCCACCAGAAGCAAGATCTGATCTGGAGTCATGATCCAATTGCATAGAGCTCAGACACACGGAAATCCACTTTGTTGGCACTGTTTCCTCCCACATCAATTTTCTTCTTCATTTCCTTACACAGTTGAGTACAGCTTTCAGTATATACCTTTTCGCAGCTAAACAAGGGACTCCAAATGAGCCATGGCCAAACAACCGTTTCTGCTTCCCGTCCGTCCCCCTGTGCCCCCACAGCACAACGCAGCCTTGAGCACACGCACTTCAGCTTCCTCAGCTTCGGGTCACCGAGTGCAGCAATTTTAAAATAGTTGCGGTCACAAGTTTTGTGGGTCAATATTGATGTTGTCTATTGACACAACTGCTCAGCTGCTACCAGGCCCAGAAGGACGTGCTTAGAAGTAGGAAATTCTTTTTCTAGGATGGTAGGAACCATCTGCAGTGCAAGTGGAGAACTGCCTGGGGTCAGCAGTCATGGTTGTATGGGGTGGTGGGGATGTACCTTCTGGGCACACCATCCACCAGCTCTGGGGGCTGTGGACAAGTCTAAATCTCTTCCCGTGAACTAAGTCAGAAGAGACAAGGAAAACCAACAGATTACGATCAGTGTCTGACACTGCCCTGATTTTACTTTGCCCAACTGCTTAAACTCATTTTGAATGACTAATCTTGGAAAGCCACCTACTATTCCCCTATCTCAAAATATTTCCCATGTTTGGATTGTTTCTGCCGTTTAAAAAAACCAGTTACTTGGAATGCAGCAGCGACCGATCTGCCAGGGCCTGTCACCACTTCCACCATAGCGAATCAGCCTGACCCCCACCCCACCACAGCTGACTCAGGAGGAGACTTTGCTGCCCCAAGCGCGTTCCTCAACACTCATTGGAAGAAAACAGAATAAAATAGTCAGAGAACAGTCTGAGAGCTGCCACTTGCTTCTCTACTCCTAGTTTTTGTTTTAAACGTAAAATAGAAGATGAGAAAGAACTGAGCACATTGCATACAAAGTGATCCAGCAGAAGGAGGGTGAGCGAGGGGGGGAAGATAAATCAGTTGTTGAAGTTGGGCATAACCTTTACAAAAATCTTTGTAAGAAAAAGCTTGCTGGTATGACTAAAAAGTGGCTCAGCTGCCAAATATTTCAGGTATTCAGAGTCTGCCAGAGCCCTGCGGATTAATACTGGCCCGTTTCTCCTTTGCTGTTTTACTTTCTGCATTTCAGCTGGCCTGACCATAGTACCTGAACTGAGCACAAGGCTGCAAGTCAGCAGACGTGATTTTATTTCCAGCTCTGCCACACTTGCCTATTGATCTTGAACAAATTCCTTAGTTCAAAAGCTTCAGAGATGGTCTCTAAATTTAGGGGAGGGGAGGAGGCTGGCTCGCTGCTTCTGGCTGGGGAGTTCCGCATAGGAAAGCTAAGCTCTGACTTAAGCTCATCTGTGTGATGCTGAAAATGAAGTGTAAGAAGTTCTAAATGAGATCGTGCAAATTATAGGTGTTCAGCTGAATGATCGTCTCTTCTCAAATGAGAACCCCCCAGTTAAGCTCCCCAGAAATAAGTAGCTGCCTTTGAGCATTC